TATATATATATATATATATATATATATATAGAGAGAGAGAGAGAGAGAGAGAGTTTGTTTCAAATACAACCCGTCGTATTTGTACAACCAATACAACCCAATAAATTGAGATATTTACGGAAATGATATGAGTTCATTTATTATGATTTTAATATTTATGAAAGATGAATATAGTTCATTAATTATGATCAATACTTTATATTTTGAAACAATCAAAACTTCTATGAAATCACATATTAATCAAATGAAATGGACAGTTGAGATTGAGTTGTATTGGTTGCACAAATGTCAAGGGTTGTATAATAACCAACCTCTCTCTCTCTATATATATACACACACACATATATATATATATATATACATATATGTATATATATATATGTGTGTGTGTGTGTGTGTGTGTGTGATTTTGTTGCCTACTAGTTGTCTATTGTAGAGAGATACATATGGCCATGAGCCCGCTATTGCTGAGATTTTAAGTAGATCCACCGGACCAACAGGAAGCCCGTTCTAGGTGCGATCGATCCCCTTACGGATTCTCCAATCTACCTTTACCAGAAGACTGCTAGAGCAGCAGTAAGTTCAATTTTTGTACTCGAGTTAGTTTGTTTTATAGGATTGGTAACTTCATAGGATAGACAATTATTAGTTCAAGTTGTCATTGTTGGGCAGATGTTAAGTTAGAGTTAAATAATTTTTTAAAGACATGCAAATGATATGTTCGAATTACAGTTGTTATGTTGCCAAACTTTCTGCAAGTTAGCTAACATATTTTGTTTTGGTAAATTGTGGGATACGTATCCCCGACTTAGGGAGGAGATGTATGTTAGCTTATATCCTAACATCATTCCCCTTGATGTAGTGTTGGAGGTCGGCACAAGAGCTGCATGTTACGATTCAAGAGCAATCAGGATCCATGCTTTGCTATGAACGGTGATCCCAGCCTAGTAGCAATGGCGGGAGCTCATACGGGAGTCGATTGACGGAGGTATGTTTCATATAGTATATAGTATTAATATATTGTATTTAATCACTTATTGCCTACAAATTGCTGATTTTTTGTCAATTATTGAATAATTATAGGTAGATATGTTAAAGGAGAAACTAGCAAAGTATGAGGAGGATCGCTTGCAGTTTCTGGATTGGCTTGAGACTGAACAGAGAAAAAAAGGAACTTTGGAGTAGCAACAAAAGGAGACAACTGAAGAGCTAGCTAAGCAGAAGGTGCTAGTAGAGCAGTTGTTTGCTTTTATAAGGCAGTTCCAATTTGGTTAGCCATGTAATGGAATTGAATTCCAAACATTCTCTCATTTAAGGATTTCACCACTTCTTTATAAAAGAGATGGAATTGAAATCCATTCCATCCAAAATTTTATAAATGACAAAGATACCCTTATTACAACTTAATAACCCTATGCACACCTTTTCCATTCTCATCTACTACTTCCAATATCGAACCTGGTTTCTCTCATCTTGAACGACTTGTTTCATCTTCATCATTGATCAAAGACTGCATATACGATTTCTACTTATGATTGATGCTTCCGATTCTGCATACGATTTCTGCTTCCAATTTTGATTTATGCATTCGGTTTCTGCTTATTGTTTTTTTATTACTGTTTCTGATTTTTTGTTCTGATTTCTGTTATTGTTTCCGATTTCTGTTCCGAGATGACAACCAAACAGAGCTCACAAAAATCTAAAGGTCAAACAATCTGCTCACTAAATGTTAATTTTATTACTATTTGTGATTAAAAAAATTAAAAAAATATCAAGGGAGGGGATCTTTGTCTTTTTGCATCATTTCATTCCGATTATATTGTAAACCAAACAGACAGATTCCAATTCATTAGACAAATTAAATTTCATTCTTGTTAACCAAACACTTGGTCAAACCTAATAAGATTCCATTTTAATTCTTTCCAGATTTCAATTCCATTAACAGCTTCCATTTTTTCAGAAATTATTCTGTGAACCAAACACTCTTAAAAATAAGCATAAAGTTTGGTTTAAGTATAATTTAATAAAAATATATAATCATTATTTAAAATAAAATCAATGAGAATTGTGAAGTATTATAAAATATAACAATATTTAATTTGCAATTTGGGAGGACAATAATTATTAATAATATTATAAGAGTTGATATGGAATGACATGAGACTCGTCATTATCAAATTTCTTAGTGTCCCACATGCTCAACAATTTTACATAAAAACACATGAAAAACGATATTTAATTATTTATTAAGACTCTAGATTATAATTACATTATATTATTTTATTTTACATTTAATTTATATTCAAAGAACCTTATATGAACCATTATATAATGATTTTGATTTCTAATGTTTAGAAACTAACTGATTATCTATAAATTAATTGTTAATTGATAATTTAGTTGTTAGTTTAAAGACAATATAAAATAATATTAAAGAATTAAACAAAATAAATTTACTAAACTATAGCAGTTGCATACGACTCTAGTTTTGAACCCACAATTTATGCAATAAACAGCCAACAGAGATTGACCGAGTCATGACTCAGGACCTGATCCGAGTTTGTCACCATTATTAACATGACCGAGTTACAGATGAGTGTGGACTCTTGATCACCAAAAGACGATGAAAAAATTGAAACGGACCACCGTCAAAGAAAATGACTTCTCACCCAATGCTTTCCATTTTATTCAAACTTCTTAATTTTCTCTACCCAAAAAAAATGGCCTCAAAACAACTTCTCTCCGCCCTCCTCCTCCTCCACCTAACCCTCGATTCTCCAGCTTCCACGTTGGCTCAATGCCCCTACCCCTGCTACCCACCACCAATCGGCAACATGCCACCTCCAGCTACAACCTTGCCGCCACCGTCGCAAACGAAGAATTACCCTCCTCCGGCAGCCGTCTACACACCACCGTCGGGTACTGTTTACCCTTATACACCTCAAACACCTACTTTTTACGGCGGTGCACCACCAGCTCCAGATCCTATAGTCCCGTGGTTCCCTTATTACTACAAGGATCCGCCGCGTAACCCTCATAAATCATCGTCGGTAGATCTTCGAGGTGGATCAACGGTGGTGATTTTCTTGGTCCATGTTCTAGTGGTCCAGTTGTTGTTATGTTAGGTTGTAATAGGATCATAGCATGCATGAATGAACCTCATAGCTCCATCTGGGTTTTTAAAGGGGCAATAATGATAATTAAGAATTATAAGGGGGCAAAATTGGTAATGTCTATTGTTCCAAATGTAGATAATTTTCTTTTGTTCTGTAATTTATGTCTTGTTCGAAGTGATAACTATGTATAGGAGAACAAAGTTTTTCTTTTTCATATAAGAACCATCAAAACGTTAAAAACCGTGAAAACTAATTTAATGTATTGTTTAATGGAAAAATAAGTCAGGTGAAAATCAACGAAAACCATCTAATGAGTTTGATTCTAATTAATGTATTGTAAAGTGTGTGAGTATGACTGTATGATTCATGTATAAACACATATACACTTGTGTTTTTTACACACAAAACATTATTATGACGTTTCATCTATAAAATAACACTCTATGAACACTGATTGTCTACATGTGATGTTTATCTACGAAACAACAACAAATACAAACCAGCTTTTATATGATTTACCTCTCACATTACAATAATTTCATGCACCTTTTAAGACCTACCACATGTACAGTAAAAAAAGGAAAGGTGCTAGAGCGAATATATATTAAAGGTCTTTTCCAGGAGTGGGCTGGCTTTTTGTGAGCTAAAAATGGGAAAATCCAAAACAATCCTAAAAAGTTACATAGAATACAATTCGGTATTGCACAATTTTTCCAGATTTTTTTTTGGTAAGGATAGGTGTCTGGTTCAGCTTGCATGAATCTCTGCTAATCTCATGAGGCCTAAAGATAACAAGGAAAATCTCCCCAATATCCCCAAGGAGGCTCGAACCGGTGACTTATAATAGTTTTTATTTGCGGGTTAAGCTGGCCGTTGATGATTGTGCAGGATTTTACCAGTAGGAAGACTAATTAATTACTAAATCAAACTGTGAAAAGAGAGATTTGTACCACATCTTTATTCTCTACCTTAATACAACATCGATCGCCAACCCTGTGGCAATTACTTTAAGATGCAACACCGACTGCTAAACGTCCTGATTTAGAACTGCTGCCCATGTGCATGTCTTTTGTCTGCTTCCGCACCATATGTCTTGCTCTTGGTTCTGTCTCTTTATGTTTGGCCAAACGTGTGTTGTTTTTCTTCTCTTGCTCCTTCACGGATCTCCTGTTGGTTGATGATGTTGAAGAGCTTGGTCTGGTGTCTGATGGAACACAAGACTTGGATGCATTCTTGTCACGGCGTGTGGCCATAGAATGTGAACGAGGTCGTGGTTGGTTTGTTGTTGTGCTGATTGGTTTAACCTGGCATTTGCATTGTATACATGTCAAATGACTGTTTCTTATTCCAAGTACAGCTAAGAAATCAAAAAATATTGAAAATTACTTCCAAACCTTACTTATATTAGAACTAGAAGTTGTTGAACTTTTGGACTTTGGTTAAATTCCACCACCAATGATGACCCTATGCCTTTTTAGATCAATTGCTAATTGAATTGACTACTTTCCCTTTTACTCCAAAGGATTTGAACCCTTTGAAAGTGAATTGAGGAGTTAATTGGACCTACTGTAGTTCGACCACTAATCAAGGCTATTGACCAATCTGAGTTAACGAGTTGCGTTCAAGTAGAAGGATCATAATAAAAATATTTTGAACTTCTCTGCTATGATGAATTAGGGAAAGACATAAATACCAGGGCCAGGAATTAGACCCAACTTCTTGGGAAATAATATTCAAGCAAAAAGACAATCAAGCTCCTGGACTAGACTCACAATGTTAGGTCCTTGTTGAATATGACCAAAAATCTAGATTAGAATCAAAGAATTGCATCTGTCATGTCAAACTTTTTAGTCCATTGGATTGCCTTACACTCAAAAACTAGATTCAGGTGTGTAGTAGTAAAAAAGAAACAACAGGTGATGAAGAAATACATGGTGGTTCAATTGAAGTGAATCAAATCTTCATCAACAATTCAATCCACATTTTCTCTAGTCCCAGTTATTCAGGTGAAAGTTTGTTTGCCTCAATGAATGAGACTATTAGGGTGCATTTGGTACACAGGAGAGAACAAAAACTTGTCCCATGTTTTGCATGACATTAGGACTGGGACGCCACCGGACTGGGTGCTTTTTTGTCCCACCAAAATAGGTGGAACAAAATTCAAGGAGATAAGATAAGATTGATAAATTACTAAACTACCCATGTTAAATTAAAACCGTAAAATCTTCCACAATGCTTTCACCAGCCTACTCTCAATCTCGCACGTCCTGTTAACTCATTTTTAAGGATTAGATGTAATATTGGATAAAATTGTACATAAAATACTGCCCAGGACCAAACTCTGTTCCTCAAAAAAAGCTGAGAAATGGAAAGCATAACTTAAGCCCGCTATTCTTACAGGCAGTACTGACACTACACAAAAAACCAGTACATGATGCTTTGTCTTAGACCTCTTTACAATAGTTGATGGCAGCATAATCAACAAAAGAACATGAATTATTTTATTGACATGCAAAAATTAATTTTATCAGGACCCTAGATATCAAAGACATCTATAACAAACTATAATATATACGTCAAGAGGCACAAAGACTAGTTTCTGAATTGTTATTGAAGTACCTTGTGTTCATCTGAAACCCCAGCAGATTCATTGTAGAAAGAAGGCATCGGTGTAGCTTTAAAGTTGAGACTTCTTCGGAATTGTTTCATCTCAGCTGCTTGTTTTTCCTGGAAATACAAAGATTAGCACAAATCTGCTATCCCAAAGGTTGAACAAACAAGCGTCTTATGCAAATACCATGAGCAGTAATATGTTAGACACTTCATCATAGATATACACATGGGCCTTAGCTTCACACTTCTAATGAAACTAAGGCACTATGCTGAATAAAATGAAAAATTAGAATTGCAATGATTTTACTAGATCACAATCTCTGTATAGAAAATTACATTGAATTTGTGTGGGATTGAATATTGTTGTCATTTGTAATGATTCATACCAGTGTTTTTGCTTCAACTTGGTTAATCTCAACCTCTTTAGCTTGCATTTTCTCCGCGATTTTTGTATAAAACTGTGATACATGTGAAAAACCAATTAAATATTTAGCAATATTAAGCATTAAAAAGAAGTGGCCCTGTTTTTGCAAGAAGACAAAAAGCAAATTAATTATAAACCGACCAACAAGAATGCACATTTCTTGCCTCTTTCCTATTTTCCGCTCGTTGATCAGTCTTAAAACTGAAACCTGCAGTACTCTGAGTGATGTGCGCCTTGCTTGATCTAATAGGAAAAAATAAATGGAACAGAAAAGTGGGTTAGGACTTGGGAGCACACTGGGAGTTCATTAAGTCATACAAAGAAACTTTTTATACTGCTACCAACCTGTTAACAGTCGGGCGTACTCCAGGAAAAGACTGATCTGACAATGAGGACCGAGCTGTGACTGCCTTTTCAGATCTTAGATCCTTCACAATGCTGCATAAGAGAAATCACATGAAAGGAGAAAACTTGCAACCTGTGGAAGGCCTATTATAGAACTTACACAACAAAATAGGTACCTTTTCTTATGTCGGAGTTCTTTTCCCTTCAAACTTGTAATTGCATCCTAATTAAGAAAAACGAAGAGTCATTGATTGGATGGGAGTCTCATAATGATGTACTATATATGTATGCAAGTAAACTTACCTTCTCATGCAACAATACCACAAATGATGACGTCATAACCATTATATCGTATATAATACAATCACCAGGGATAAAGAATGACAGTTAAAGTAAAATTTCTCGCTGTCTATAAAACATTACCTCTGCTTTTGAAGTTACCCCTGAACAAGTGAGGAAACTGGCAGGTCGAGGTGACTTCTTTTCTGTTCTCTTTACAAGTAAACCTTTGCTTTCACTTGTTTTAGGTTTCATTGAGCCTCTGGATGCTTCATTAGAATCGTGTTTTTGAAATCGATCAATAATGCCCTTGGTATTCAGTTTTTCCATTGTAAGTTTCTTTTCTGATGCAGGCTTTACCTAAAACCAGTAAAAGTCCAGCTTTTTAAGCACAAAAAAAAAATTTAATCATCTCTTTCTGATTAAAAGTAAATGTACACTCAAATTTGATTATTTATTTTGTGTAGAAAGCAGTGATTGCATTCATTATAAGTGATCTCCATGCATCACCCTCTGAGTATCAGTACTTATTCTACCTATAAGAAGCTACGAAATAAGGAGTTCTATAAACAGGTAAGCAATGTCCAAGGGATTCACCTTAGGAGAAAACATTCTCCGAGGCCTGGAGCTGGTATCATCATCCTTCTCAGGTGTTTGACATGTAAGGGATGAATCATTGGCTTTTGATCCAACATCCACCTGTACCACCTCATCATTGAGGGTCACATCAATACTTTCTTCACTATTTACCATTACTTCCTCGGTTTCACTTTGATGTACTTCATCAAGCTTGACATGTTCGGGAACACTTACCGAAAAATCGACAATGTTGATAACAGGCTCATCCTGAGTTGCAGTAGAAAGAAATTCATAATTTTGACTTTCAAATTCCTGAATTATACTATCTTCATCATGTCCTGAATTATAAGGGCTCTCAAAAAAGCATGCAACATGCCTGCTCCCATTACCATTCTCAGCATATAAAGCTTCAACATCTCCTTTTTCATGCTGGTCGATTTCAGTTTCTTTAATGTACTCGGAAGGACCAGAACTGCAAAGACTCTCACCAAAGTATGTATATGGTCCACCCTCATTGCCATTACCAGATTCTTCTAAATCATGCAGGTCATTATTTCTATTTGTAGGGGATTCTCCCCCATCTTGACATTCAGAAGAATTTTGCTTTAGAAGGGCTTTCCTTCTAAAATGAGCCTCAAAATAGGCCTTTTTCTCAGTAACTGTACCTGGTTTTGAGTATTTCTCAACCTCTTCAAGATATCTATTGTGCGAAAAAATTGATCTCCTTTCCCAAGATAATGATTCAGATTCGAATCTTCCAAAGGAGATTGAACCAGAGTGCAAGAGGTCAGCCTGTCCAAATGAGGAAAGCAGATATCAAAATCTTTAGACAAGTAATAACAAGGGAAACTGACACATAATAATAGACCAAAACATTATGATAAACACATGTTGGCAAAGCAAATCATATATGTTTTATGAATGGTTACCTAAAAAGTTCAAAACCGCGGTACAGAATCTTATAAGTCACTGTTGCTTTCGATCTTATTGTTACTGACTACAGTCATGCCCCTATGTCCTGATTCCATGTTACGCCACATTTTCGACTTTACGATATAATTTATGGTAACTCGAATAATATGATGAAGGATAAATCCCTAAAATTCCATAACTGTCACAAAGTGTTTGACCCTAGCCTTGAGCCACGGCACGCCACTGCAGCAGCCATGGTGATCCTTTTAGAACACTGTATGCATGTATGTATTTATAGGTGATTACTTCCATCCACTTGAGCAACAGGGTTTCTACAATCCCTAAACCCCCAATTCAAGGCATGATGCACAATAATGATCATAGGCACGGTAGTAAATAAAGGCATAAGTTAGCAACAAATTTACTTAGATCTATCCCAAGTTACAACTACCATAGTAATCATTCATTCACTGACTTTGTAAATCAAATGTTTGCATAATCATTAGACCGTCTGCCACTACCAATATTAGCGCTTGAATATGACCTCATTCCTCCCCTAAATCCATAAATAACAAGACAGACCAATCGTGGAAGTAAATTCATCAATATAAAACATTAATACCACAAAAAAAAGGGCAAGAAAACAAACACGAAAGGTGCAGTTAATTAACAGTCATCCAATGTGATCTGTGAGAAATGTTGTTACAAATCTATATACAGAACGCATTTAATTGTAAACCACGGTGGATAATTAACACGAAAAAAGCATGTAATCCAAAACGGTAAGCAATTTTCATGATCAAAATCCAAATCAGGACAAAACCAGATCTAGTTGAATAATTACAAAAATAAAACGAAATTACCTGAAAATTCAAACGAAACGGTTCTTCGATTTCCCCTGCCATTTACTAAAACCACTTCAAAGCATCACACAACTCTCGAACAGGTAACATTCAACAAAAACCCCAACACAAATAGGTAGAAAACTGCATCACCTACGATGTAATCGAATAGAGAAATTCAACAACTTGATTACATCAACACACATCACATGTTTGAGTATGTGAAAAGAAAAAAAGAGAATCACATAATAAAACATAGAGATCACTTACCATCAGCATCAGGAAGATGATAGATTGAAGGCAAGTATGTGAGAGTTTGTTGATGAATCGGAATCACTTGTTTGCTTGGAAGATGAGTGTGTTCATGAGAGAGAGAGAGAGAGATCAACAACGGGGTTTGGTTGTGGAGTAACTGGAGTGAAGGAAAAGCTGCATCATCGTCGTCATGATGATGATGTGTGTGTGTGTGTGTGTGTGTAAATGGAGGTTTTTGGTCAAATGGTGAAGGGTGGCCCCTCAATCACTCCGCCTTTTCATCTTCCATTTTTAGGACCATAATTAGTCAAATACAAGTTTTACCATTCTCTGTCTTAATCAATTCACTTTCTCCTTCCCAATCATTTCTAATATAATTACCCTATTAATTATCTAAGTTTATTTATTTGTTAGTTAAATATTAAAGTAAATTACAAATTTGGTCCATATAATTTGTCGGAAATAACATTTTTCACCCCTCTTATTTTAAAAATTATAAAATGACCATTGTGATTTGCAAAAAAACGTCTAGGCTTTGTTCCTTCCTTTAACGGTTGTTAAAAAATTCCGTTTAGGTTGAATCGATTTCCTCCGGTAGATATTCAATTATGATTGGTTAGTTATAATTGAAATCAATAATTTTATGCACACCTCTATGTTATTCAACTCATCCATTTTACTAGTTATAATTATGAACTCTGCTATCGCTTTTTATTGTGTAAGAGGTTGTTTACCAAATGTTTATCCGGATAAGCGTTTACCGATGAAATTCAATATTATCACTTACTTAACAGGTAAAGTTTTAGTTCACCAAAACGATAATGTATACAACAATTTCTCAAAAAGAAATTGTATTCATCTCCAACATATTCCCCAAAATTTCTCCAAAATGGATAACCTAAAGTCAAAATCTTCAAAAAGAAATTACATTCATCTCCAATAAATTCCCTAAAATGGAGATCCAAAAGTCAAAATCTCTAAAAAGAAATTACATTCATCTTCAACAATTATCCATTTTAAAGAATTCCAACATTGATTATAATATTAAAATATTTCATTAATTTCTTAAATTATTATACTTCTCTCCAAATATTTATTTTCAAAGTTTTCTATTTGTAGTCTCACTTGATAACCATTTTTGGGATGTTCTCTATATTTGTAGAAGAAACCATTCTTTCTCCTGTTTTCATTTTGAAGATGGTTTGGGGAAGCTCCTGAGTCAAAATATTGACTCAAAATCTCAATATTTCTTAATTTTGAAGAAGCTGTTGTAGATGCTCTAACATTGACTGTATTAATAAAATATTCAATATATCTAATAAAATACTATTTTTCTCTCCTACACATTTTAATTCCAATACATTTTATTGGTGGGAAGGAATCAAAATATTATTTCTATTTCTTCCATAAAATTTTACAGATTTATCTAAATTTATAGATTTTAACCTTATTTTTTTTCTTTCCATTTTAGCATAGCTGATGGATCAAACAAAAAGTCGTAAATCTTCAAAAAAAATTGTTTTAACATAGTTGTTGGAGATGCTGTAAGTATATACTTTTGAAATTAGACATTTATATTCGAAAAAACTAGAAGAAAGAGTAACTTACGATTTGGTTCTTGCCGTATATGTGTCGTTACAAAATTGGTCCACAAGCTTCATTTATTATGTAAATTACGTAGTGGTATGCACTTTTTCACTTATTTGGTTCTTCGTCCTAAGGTCCGTCTATTATTACTGTTAAGTCTCAGGATATTTACATATTTCTATCTTTTTTTTGGTCTTTTCCTTATAAAATACGTAAATAAGTATTATATAATATTTTTTATATTATACTATAATATATATATACACACACATAGTTACCGGGATTCAAGTCATTCAACCCCCTTCGATCTGGTATTCACCTCCCCTCCATCTCTGGTGTCTTGACGTCCATTCTCGACAACCACCACTACAGCTCCACCCATGAAATCTCTTCTTCATTCCATTCCCCTCGACTTTCCCTCATCGACCCCAACAAAAGCCTCAATCCCGAAGGTTCACCCGTAATTTCCTCCATCTTTAACTTCGCCCCAATATTTATACACACATAGCACACATACTCGATGTAGTCTTCAAGGAGCAATGAAGGTTTAATGGTTGGTAGCGGGTGGGGGAGAAAAGGGGGACGACTGGAGGAAGGTTTTGGTATGTAGAGTGAACGGGTGTCATTGGGAGCAGTTGGAGGTGGGTGGTGGGTGGTGGATGGTGGGGGGTTGGTGTCGGAGTAGTGTGTAGTGACGCTAGAGATGGAGGGAGAGGGGGTTCAGTGGTGAGAAAGGTGAAGGTTTTGCTATAAACAGTTATTGGTCAACTAGGATTAACATAGAAGAAGATGATGTTTGTATTTGGCCCTCCAAGTTATAATTATACATTATGGCCTCTAATAAAATAGTTTAATTAAAAAATGATCAAAAAAAATATTATGTTGCCCTCAATTTTAACGGCTCCAGTAGACGGTCGTTAAAGGGAAGGACAAGATTCGTGAAAAATACATACCACCAGGTAATTTATGTAGTAAATGAAGTCTAGAGATCAATTACGTAAAAACCTACGTATTACAATGACCAATTTCATAATTTACTTTAAAACATATAAACATTTAATTAAAAGGTGATGAAATATTAATTAATGATAAGGAAGATGTGTTTTTTATGTTGAATGTTGAGGATTTGTCTTGAATCATGTATGTGGCCAAATCATGATTGAGGAATCATATGAATCCCAAAAGAGAGGCTAATTATGATGATCCTATCATCTATGTATCTTTCTTTACAAATGAAAAGTAAATGAAACCAATATATATATATATATATATATATATATATATATATATTAATTTAGAGTGAGATATTTTTTGTCTCTTGTTTATGGCTGCTTTTTGATTTATATTTTTACAATTTGTAAAATACATCGATGGTCAATTTTTCGTATTTTAGAGTCCAAACTAATCCATCAATTGAACATCGTTAAAATATCTTTGTTAGATATCCATCATTTTACCTTTTTTTTCTTTTTAAAAAATCTATTACACCACATGTAACCACCACATTACCACCACCACCTCCATTGCAAGTTGCAACCACCATCTTGAAGAACATAAAAAAAAAAAGAAAAAAAAAAAAAAAACAAATGCAAATAAATTATAGAACTCTAAATCACATTTCCAAATCAAATCCTCAAAATCAAATCCCAAAAATCAAAATACAACCAATCCGTAGATTTTCATATTACAAAAACATTCAAACCTTAGTAAATAAGTAAAAGTTATCTGAAGAAGGTATTGAAGGATATGCAATCACTCAGCCTCGATGAAGTCATGAAACTTCAATGTAGTGGTAGCGGTGGGAAGGGGAAGGAGTTCACTGAGATGGGGGAGTGAGGATTCATCTTCAATCGCTTTTCCATCCTTGACGATTCTTTAAAAAAAGATGGAAGAAAATGGGAGATGGTTCCATAATTTCTGATGGAGAAAATGGGTGAGGATGCACAATTGTCGACGGAGATAGGGGTGAAGATGCACATCCTTTAGTTGTCGTTGTCTTTGCTCAACCAGTTTATCCCACTAAACTACAACATTTAGACAAAAAACAACCATCTTGATCTGTTTGCTTTCTGGGATTTCCATAACATCGAAGAATCTCTCAAATTCAATCTTCCAGTCTAGAAATTCTTCTTCTCCCCTAGTTCCATAGAAAAACAGAATGTTCGCCTTCATCCAGTAATCGTGATTGTTCCTCCTCGGGCAGTCGGGCTTAATGGTTCGGGTCCTCCTCCTCCTCTTCGGATTTAGAACTTGAAAGCTTGATCTGGTTACGATTATAGTAACCGATTCTTCACGTCTTTCTCTCCTCGGATGACAAGCATCTAAATCCTTAAAGGATAACGAGTCTACCAGTGTAGCGCTTAGACTAATTAAGAGAAAACTCTTAAAACTAGAAATAAATCTCTAAAATAATTGTATTGATCAATAATAAACTTAATAATAATGAAAACACTAAACCTATTTATAATCTAATTTTGATCAAAGATAATTATTGAAATCTAACATATATATATATATATATATATATATAACATCATATTTTTCTCTTTATATTTTATTATAAATAATTTTATAAAAACTCGCTCAAAACCATGTACTTTGTACATGTTATAAAAAGTGTAACATTTAACTGATACAATTTTAAGTAAAAATATTTTTCAAATAACAAAAGTAACTTCCATAGAGTAGGCAAATACATAAATCTTATGAGCCATAACAATATGATTAATTCATTTATGATAATAAAAATTGTCATATGAATTCTTTTATAAAGAATACGTTACAACATTTATAGAATATATCAAAACTTATATCTTTTGTCGCTTTCGTATAGCATTTCATCTAATTGGTGTAAGACATATTTGTGCTATCTAGGGATGAACTTATAGCTTAAGATCTCATGTACGGTTCTGTAACGGAGATTCTTTGAGGTAGGGGGCGGCTTGCCACAATTCAATTGTCCTCCTTGTGATTCAAGGCATGCCATCTGTCGGAAAACTATGAGACTACAATGGGAATCGAAGTTTAAATTTGAGTTTTGATGGTTAACAATAATGGAATAAAAAACCCATACAATAAATTGTATTTATTATGTAATTGTACTTAATTTGTACATGTACATATATATAAAGAGAGATAAAAACTTATGATAACGTGAGACAACCTAGTTTTTGTGAGATCCATGAGACCATCTTAGAGCATTTTGATGAGTTTTTTTTTTTTTTACATCTTAGTGAACCTTTATAACAAACTATTAAACTTCCACATGAAAAACACACCCAACCTTCACAAGAAGAAAAACTCGAACCTTCAACATTATGTCTCACAGTTTCACAAAAGGATATTAAGAGAGTGTTTGGGATTGCTTATAAAAACAACTTATTGACTTATTCCGGTGTGGCACGGGTAATAAGCATTTTTGAGTGTTTGGATAAACAACTTATACCCGTGCCAAATTGGTAATAAGAAGTTTTTAAAGAAGTTAAACTCTTCTGACTTATAATAAGTTGATAAGTACTTCTGTAGAAAAGCATAAATTGTTTCAAACACCCCCTAATATCACGTTATCTTAACCCCTCCTCTCTCTCTCTCTCTATATATATATATATCACATAAGAAAAGGCTTAAAAGGGAAGTGTATGAGTTGTAGGTTTGATACCCTACCCATGTGGAAACAAGAAAGACGAGTTGCTACATTCCAAGATCTGTTTATGAAGCTTGGATGGGGAATAGGGATGTTTGGTGAGATTGGCACATCACTTCCATTTGACTTGATGTTCAATAAAAGCATCCCCTCCTTCTAAACAATTTCCCAAAATGCCATGTGGGTCCTCTTACTTATAATTATATATTATGTGGTGTTTCATACCTAGTAGTAAAATACACCCTAAATAAAACAAAACTATGGTTAAAAGGATTACTATCAATTTAAAATAATTACTATAGGCTTTAATGACGTTTTTTGCGTGTACCTTTTTCATTATGTGCCACATACACAGACGTTATTTCGACTCCGTAAAGACCAATGGGATCGCTTGCTTCATGGCAGAACATTGATCAGTGATAACGAAAGAGGGTTGTTTTCCATGACATCTCAAAAACGTTTTTAATACCCAGGTGAAGTTCTCAATTGTCTCGCAACTTATTAATGCCAAACCAACAATAACAGATGATTTGTGGTTGTCAATAGACAGAAACGGAACAAAAATCATCGCATGCCTACAACTAAAATATAAATAGTCAATCAATTAATCTGTATAATATAAACAACCAAAATTAAATTTGATCTCAAATTGACACCCACTTATCGGTTCAGAAAGTACCATCGAAAGATATAACATCACCAAATTGATGAACATATGGGAAATAGTTGGTGAGTTCACTGGTCAAAAACTTCCGTTGAAAAGAGATAAACAATAAACCGCCGAGTAATCAAGATTTTCAAGAAACAACCATGCATGCTCTGCAATATATTTGAGTGTTACTTTGGTAGTCAACTTCCAACAACAATAACAATAAAAAAAAAACACTTTGCAGTCTAGCTTTAGAAAAGTTAAAGTCCATAACATGTTCATTCATGTATTGGTCAGGTAAAAAAGGTAGGGAACTTTTACCCAAAATAAACAATTGCATTATGTGAAACAAATTCGAGTATGCGTGCGTAGAATAATACGATATATTTCATGAACATGAACAAATCACCTATGTTACGTGATTTGTGATATGATGTTATTTGACATTCAAATTGATGAACAGATTGGAAATAGTTGGTGAGTTCACTGCAGGTCAGAAATATATGCGAACATTCATGATTAGTAGATAACAAATAATCATGTCTAAACATATAAAATGTTGAAACTGAATGTGGATTGCCCATATAGAGTAGTGATCATCAATTTTGTTTCAATGACAATCCTGTTATGAACATCAGTGGACATTTATAACAATGTTAACACAAAATAAGGAGTGATACATGAACATCGATGAACACACAAAAACATACGCTCCATGCTTATGATTGAACATAACTGTTGATCTCCATCATACTACAAAGATTAACATAAGGTTTATCAAAACTGAAAACGTTGTAATGTTGAATACAATGTGCATGTTGTTTACACTTCAAATAACACTCGATTGGTTACCAAGAAGTATGTTCAATGCATTGTATTATGCCGCCTTCCAAGTTGTTGATGTGAACGTAACTTCACATTGGTAAACACACCAAACTGTCTACCCATTGAAAGTAGTGAACATGGATGATGGAAGTAGTGAACGTCATATTGTTGAGCACCCCAAATGTTATTGATCATGTGCAAATGCATCGACGTTGTTAATAATTATGAAATCCAATAAGTGAACATATGCATGAACATTTCTTAACGTCTATCATGTTACTGCACAATTTCCATGTTCATGAACATTTTTGTTCACACCTAATGAATAACCATCCTGAAAATGTTAAAGATGAACAGGATGGAAGTCATAATAAGGTGTTCATTACGTCTGGAAGAATTAAAAAAAATAACATTTCTTACATAATTTACCAAGTATATATGAACACCGTTGACAAGGTTTAACATAAATGAAATGAGACACAATCATATAAAATATTTATCAAGCATGAAAAATAATACTCATAATTAATTGTTTGAAATTGTAACATTTTTTTAATAATATACAAAAAAACAATGAATACGTCATTAGTATTTTAATTAATCTATGTATGTAGTGTGTGTATAAATATTATATGTATTTATTTTCATTTGACAGGTAATAGGGCGAAGAAGGATATTTATTTTCATACCAAAAGCGGGGTCCGGGTAGGGTTGTGGATGGCACTACATGTCCTTAATCCAATCTCGATAAAATTTTTATTTTAATTAAACTATGTATGTAAGTGTGTGTATAAATATTATATGTATATATGTATATATTTATTATTAAATGACAAATATATTTTGATTTTTAATATTGTACATAGTAACGGTTCATTATAATTTTAATTTCAAAATAATTCGTCTTTTACTCAATGGGTACCCAACGGATTCCTGAAACCCATCAAGAATTTCTTCCTCCCGAACCTGTCGAGGATTAGTCGGGTCGGGGTTAAGAACGAGAAGTTTAAATGGAAGTCGAAGTTAAGAATGAAGGATGCATTACCCACCCAATATCAACCCGTTTCTATCCGTGGTCATGTGTATAAGACACGTGTCACGCGGCCACGCATGTGATCGTGCTTTGATTTTAATGTAACCAACCATGTGATTCCACATGCTCTATTCCTTTCTTCCTTTTATTTTATTTTATTTTATATATAAAACATAAATAATTTTTTTTTTTTTAATTCATTTTCTACTTGTTATTATTCTAGTCCTGGAATCTAGCTAACATGCACGTGAGACCCGTCTAATTGGTCTATTTGTGGTGTGGGTTTAGGGTTAAATCATACTACGTACTGTATATATTGTTTCAGCATTTTCTTAAATCATAAACTGCAACGTATAAATCTCAAACCGTACTATAAAATGAGGTATGATATGATGCGGTTTATGTGGTTTGTATTCATCGTATTTTATGCTTACAATCTATTAATTATAAGTTTAAAAATACATTATAAAATCAACGATAAAGTGACCCTAGTCCAAAAATATAAAATTTAAGTAAAAACAAATAACTTCAAACTATATTTGACATGTAAATTATGACGTGTTCAACTAATTTATTAATATTGTCAATTGTCATATTAGATCACACTCAAATTCCAAAACACAAAATCCAAAAATATTATATAAATAACTATATATATATATATATATATATATATATATATATATATTGGTGGAGGTTTAAACAAAAACCCATGTGATTTACGAGAACGCGAAAACAACCCAATAAACTCAAACTTTTTAATTAATAAATTAACTTATATTAAATATAAATAAATTAATAAGGACAGTAATGTAATTAAGTAATTTTTATAATTTTTATTTTAATTAATTATAATTATCTCTTTTTTCCTGGATTGTTCACGTTCGTTTTCACTCTCTTCTCTTCCCTTGTGATAATTGTGAGATTGTGTAACCATAACCTATTGAAACCATGATCAATCGAGTGTAACCATAACATATCGAAACCATGAGTAATCGTTGTGATAAATGTGTGATTGTCTAACCCTAACCGATTGAAACCATGATCAAATCGAGTGCACTGTTATGATAGTGGTATCACATGATTATCATACACATATCACACCAAATTGGTAGTCGATTTCTTAAGTTAACCCTAGCCGAGCGAAATCCTTGTATTAATTGTGTGATAATCACACCCATATCACACTAAATCGTGTTAAAATAAGTGATAACCATAATAGCTCATTATGTTATCCAGATTATTGAGTTTAGTGTGATCGTGTTCTTAAAATTTTATCACTTTGAATTCCAATATTACCCTTTTGCCTCTCAATTTTTTTTGAGTTGTTTTAATTTCATTTTTAATTTTAAAAAATCTTTTAATTTATAAAACCATCTAATTAAAGCTAATTGATACATATTACTTAACTTTTAAGATTACAAGTAAATTGTGCATAAGTACAACTTATTAAAGCTTCATGTTTGAATTCGTGTAAATACAAATAGACATCTCATTTTAAGTATAAAGAATCTAATCTATCTATCTATACTATATTATAAAACATTTGACAAAAACCCTCAAAAACTATTTTTTATACACAAAGTACTGTTTATTGATGCATATTACTTAAAATTCAAGATTACAAACAAATAATGCATAAGTACAACTTATTAAAGTTTCATGCTTGAATTCGTATAACTAACAGCAAATAAACATAATCAAATACTATAATGCATATTACTTTGAAATGAGTTTATTGATTACCAATCTGAATCTAATCCTATAATCACAAACACAATTCAAGTACAAGAAAGAATGTGAAGCAAAAAGTGGGTGCATCAAACAAAACCTAATTCAAAATCAAATAGTAGACGCAATAAATATTAATACATGAGGATTGGGTTTACAATAGCTCACAAGCCGAGATCCAAACAACTTCCTCATCTCTATATTCCCACTATCTGATTTCAGCTTCTCATCATTCTGATTGATATTGAAATTCAAAGTCACATGAAGATCTGGTTTCATACAACTAGTCCGGTCATCACGAACCAGAATCCTCTTTATCTCAATCCCCTCAGGCAAAAGAAAATTGAATCGGACTAGGGTTTTAGAACTTGTTGGTGCTGATGATGGTATTGGTGCTGCTGTTGCATGTAATGACCTTTTGGCTGATGCATCATCCCGCCTTGAGAATATTCAATCATAACACTAACAACTGTTAATCCTTCGGTTTTTGATTTGAGATCAAATAGAGATCTCAAATTCAAGTCAATCATTACCACTTGATCGTTTTTCTTGGGAATGTAAAAGATTTGATCTCAAAAGTCAAGATCTTTTACCTGAGAATGAAGAGCAGGTGCTTGAGGTTCAGAATCAACAATGGCAGCAAGGTATATAAGGTTTCTCTGAAGCTTGGCCTGGTGGATCGTCTGGTCCACGCATCATTTCCCTCGTATCAACGAAATGCGACATTTTTTATGCACTCGATGGCGGCCCGTTTGGATAAATGGCAGAGTTTAAATCCACCTTCAGGGGGGGTCTGATCACCAGGGGTGAGCCCTGTGCTAAACGATGCACTCATCAACATCGACATCGGACCAGCGGATCTTTGATGTCTACAATTATGAAACTATTTCAAGCTACTGAGTGAGTAAAAGACGGTAAATCAATATAGGGTTTTATGAGTTGTAAACGTTTTACCCTTTATTTTATTTCAGAAAATAACATTAATTATTTAAATGATTGGTTTACATTAGATCTCACAGTTACCATAAATAATTTAGTTGTCATTTGATTA